GAAAATTAATGACAAGTGATTTATCACAAAAATTACAAACAACTTGAAGAATGACGGTAGCACTAAGACATGTAACACTCTTGCTTTAAAATATTAATTGTAATTCACGATTTAAATTGATACGGTTAAAAAAAAGTTTTGTTTTCCAGAAGAAATTTTCAATTTGTACATAAATTTAAACAAAGTTATATGTGTGAACATTCTTGATATCTATAATATTAAATCTCACTTGTCTTTTCATTATCATGGTTTTATAGAAAATTTAAGTTTTATCAAACTTGATAAATGACTAAATTGTGAGATGGTAGAGAAGATTTGTAGCTCAGATGGATGATTTTGATGGACTTTTATTCTCTGAACTGGATGGTTTTGTTGTGCTATTTGGATAGTCTATAGACTAATGATTGTTTTTATGATTGATTGTATGATATCTAGTGAATGTAAATTAATCTCCTCTTGAAGTTATATATTTATACAAACTATATCGAGTGGTAATTCGCTTTAGATCTGTAATATCAGTTGTAAATTAAAACTATCTTAACTGCTTTATATCAACTTGAAATTTAGTTTAACGAAAATGTGGCGTAGGTTTATGTTTGCTGAAAGTCCTTTAATAATTGTCTAATTCACCGTGTTTCTTAGTCATTTTTTTTAATTTTTAAAATAATAGGTTCTTCCATCATATAATTTTTACCTTGTTTGAAATACATCTTGTCAATTTCATCTCGTTGTGTTAATATAATAAGACAACTTAGGGCAATGTATATCTGTCCAAGGCTGTAGTATGATGATGACTAACTTCAGTTTCGGTCATACTTACAAGATACGTTTCACTTGAATTTACTTGGTTATAGCATATACAAAACATAACATAATGTATTACTATAATTGACCATAAAGAGTACAAAGTAATAAAAGCAAAGTTTTCAACGACAAATTGTCAGTTATCTCCTATGACACTTAAAATCAGTAAAGTTCTAAGAATATGTCCGTTTCATCATCAACATAACTTGTTGTCAAGATTAGTAATTAGTTTTTGTAAAGCCTACCTAGTCATTAATTCTTAAGAAAAATTTGATGTTATACTGAATGCACATTAAAATCGCTGATGAGGACTCCTTGTTATCTAGTAAAGAGTTAATAAGTAAAGTATATGACACCAACTAAAATATATGCACATAGCTTTTTAGTAGTAGAAGCTAAAATAAAACGAGTTAAAAATAAATGACGGATTAATCTTGCGAAATCGCTGCCAAAAGTACACTTCATAGATTTAACAAGCATTTCATGAGAAAATTACTGACGTGTAATAGTACAGCTGATCAGCCTTCTCGAGCATCATATATGAGTCCAATCGTTACTCATTACACTACTGACATATCGTTTACTGAAATGTCAATCATTTTCAATTTTATATGGACCGTTCATAAACCATTTACTACAAAACAGACAGCCCATAAAAATGTTCACCATTGATTTTTCAATCACTCTGTGTATTTCATAACACATTACATTTTCATATTGACATGTTAAGCTTGATGAAACTTCAGCGAAAATCCGTATTTGTTTTCACTTTTAAGGGCCATTTAAACTCATGCTTTTCATGTAGACACATTGGTTTTTGAGGCACGTTTTTCTATCCAATGTCTTTCAAATAAATCAGACAACTTACAACAAGCTTATACTTGTAAACAAACCATATTTTTCTAATAGACTTCATGATGATAATCTTATATATGATCCATATTAACTCATGTATTCAAAATGTCTGATTCAGATCAGTACGCGTTTGTTTATTATTTTCTGTTAACAGTGATGATAATGATAAACAGATCTTTTATTTAGTTATAGTGAATCTATTGTGACGAGAATTTTCGCTAAATAGCTGACAGAAAATAATATTTAATAAACGTTTGACTTTCAAATGAAATTAATCCACTGATTGAATTAAAAAGTAGTTAGGAATTTCTATTAAAATAGAATCCCACTGAATTTGATGGCTTTTAATATTACCTTCGGCTCTAATATTTGTTATTGAAGGTTAATCTCGAAAAAAAAATCAATTTTAGAAGTTTCAAGTTAAAGCCTATTATGTATTTAATTTACACAGAAACTATGCACACTTAGATGGTGTAATAAGAAGGCGAAGATTATCAGAAATATACATATTAATTCTTTAAAATGTCTCTCCTAGATTTTCCTGTGGATTTTTGTATATTACTGTAAAAAAGTATGCGTTCATCATTTATCACCTACGTAATAATCTATTTGCTCTTACCAAAAGTAGTATATACAGTATGAATGTTTTTCAGTAGTGTTACTTCTGAGTTCTCTACCACATTACTAAAACTAGTTCATAATAAAATTTAAACTTTTATTGGCTTTTCTGTTCTTACACTAATACTGAATCTTGTTTAATGATTCTTATATTTTTTCTCACCAGTTATTTAAATTAAAATCATGTATGTGTAACTAAGCAATAACTATTTTCTCATGAGAATCATGCTGAAAAGGATGTTTCCTTCAGCTAAACTAGTTTTGTTATATCGAACAAATTGCCACCTCATGTTAATTTCAATTAGATTTACCGGTGTACATGTTTGCGCTGAGGTATTTACATTATAGGAAAAGAAAGGTGATTTTTGATGGTATATCAAAGCAAATTCGACAAACATTGAGATTAAAAGTTCAGCGTATTTTTAGCAACCTCTTTAGTCGTCATTTATTCAATAATTAATATAATTTTGATATTTTAAAATAGTTTAATATAATCAGCACTTAACTTCGAATTTATCATATTACACCAAGGCCTCCCTATTCAATTCTTTTAAAACTGCCGTCATTATTCTAGTAATTTTCATTAATAAAATAAATTATGTACATTGATTATAACTAATTATAACTGTTGTTTCTAAGTCGTAAGCTTACTTACTTACTTACGCCTGTTACTCCTCGTGAAGGAGCATAGGCCGCTCACCAGCATTCTCCATCCAACCCTGTCCTGGGCAATCCTTTCTAGCTCCGTCCAGTTGTAATTCATCCTTTTCATATCTGCTTCTATTATCTGACGCAATGTGTTCTTTAGCCTTCCTCTTTTCCGCTTCCCTTCACCATTCCAAGTTAGGGCTTGCCTCGTGATGCAGTTTGACGATTTGCGTAATGTATGTCCTATCCATTTCCATCGTCTTTTCCTAATTTCTTCTTCAGCTGGAAGTTGGTTTGTTCTCTCCCACAGAAGGCTGTTGCTGATGGTATCCGACCAATAGATGTTGAATATTTTGCGAAGACAGATATTTATAAATACTTGTACCTTTTTGATGATGGTTGTTGTAGTTCTCCAAGTTTCAGCTCCATACAGTAGAACTGCCTTGACGTTGGTGTTGAAGATTCTCACTTTGATATTGGTTGAAAGTTGTTTTGAGTTCTATATGTTCTTCAATTGTAGGAATGCGACCCTTGCTTTGCCAATTCTTGCCTTTACATCTGCATCTGAGCCTCCTTGTTCATCGATGATGCTTCCCACGTATGTGAAGGATTCTACATCTTCCAGAGTTTCGCCATCAAGAGTGATTGGATTGCTGTTCTCCGCCTTGGATTTGAGGACCTTGGTTTTCCCTTTGTGTATGCTGAGGCCTACTGATGCAGAGACTGCTGCCACACTGGCTGTCTTTGTCTGCATCTGTCCGTGTGTATGAGATAGGTGAGCTTGGTCATCTGCGAAGTCTAAATCGTCTAATTGGTTTTGAGCTGTCCATTGTATTCCGTGTTTTCCCTCAGATGTCGAGGTCTTCATAATCCAGTCGACAACCAGAAGAAAGAGGAAAGGAGAAGGTAGACAGCCTTGTCTGACTCCGGTCCTTACTTGGAATGCATCTGTCAGCTGTCCTCCATGCACTACTTTGCACTGTAGTCCGTCGTATGAGTTCCGGATAATATTGACAATCTTCTCAGGAACCCCGTAGTGTCAAAGAAGTTTCCATAATGTCCTCCTATCTACACTGTCGAATGCCTTTTCATAATCAATGAAGTTGATGTATAGTGATAAGTTCCACTCAACTGATTGTTCGACGATGATCCGTAGTGTTGCAATTTGGTCTGTGCACGACCAATCCTTACGGAATCCAGCTTGTTGATCTCGAAGTTGGACGTCTACTGCATCCTTCATCCGGTTCAGCAACAATCTGTTGAAGACGTTCCCTGGTATTGACAGTAGTGTAATGCCTCTGTAGTTTTCACATTTGCTCAGATCTCTTTTCTTTGGAATCTTGACGAGGTATCCTTCTTTCCAGTCCATCGGCACTTGTTCCTCCTCCCAAATCTTTTTGAATAGAAGATAAAGCATGCTTGTGGTTGCTTCGATGTCTGATTTCAGTGCTTCAGCTGGTATGTTGTCGGGTCCTGCTGCTTTCCTGTTCTTGATTTTTCTGACAGCCATTCTAATTTCTTCCGTCGTTGGTGGGTTGACATCTATAGGAAGATCTATGTGTGCTGCTTCGATGTCCGGTGGATTCATTGGAGCCGGCCTATTCAGGAGTTCCTCGAAGTATTCGAGTCGTAAGCAGCTTATATGAATTCACCAAATAAACCAATCCACTTTATTCAGCTAAACTTGCTTTACTTTTATTTATCATTGGGAAAATTTACATAAAGTGCACAAAGAATGTTCAACCAATATTGTGAGAGTGTAGTTCTGCATCGACAACAATTATTCATCTCCATTTTAAAACCTATAAACCTAATTGTAAAATATGAAAGTTAATCAAACTTTTTCTGGGTCAATTTAATTGACAAAATTCAATATGGTTTTGTCATCACTGTTCAAGCCATATTTTTGTTTTATGTAATATATATTTACATTTATAAATTATTCCCTGTTTCTTTCACTGACATTTTTAGGAGGCTTCAATGATTTTCTTTTGAATAATATATTCCTCTTTAATTTTTAATTTGAGTTTATATTCTGTGATAATAACATCATATTACTTCATTTATATTTATAGAAACATCTATAGTTCAGCAGCCTGTTGGTCTGGTACCCACTACGTACTATGGCCCTCAACCTATCTCTTCGTCATGTGATATTTGCATGAATAAGATTACTACAACAGTTCAGTACCGTAAAGGAGTATGTACTTGGATGGCTTGTACTGGAATAACATTAATTGGGTAAGTTTTTATAAGTTTAGTGAACTGTCAAAATTTATTAAAATGAATAATTTTCTTTGTTTCTATAAATATTGTAGTGTATAACTCAATACCCTATATAAATATGTAAGGTTGCTTCAAATTACGTAACTGAATTCGGTCGAACACAAATACTACAGTTGACTGATTATTTTTACATAATTCGTATTTTTCATGTTCCACTACAAAGTAATCATTTATCATTAACGTATGAGTAAATGTTATATTTGAAACAAACGATCAGTTATAAATGAAGAAAGTTGTTATCTTATGAAACATTCTAGAAATTTACTGTCTAAATTTATTAAGATTTTGGGACTTCTAAGCTGTAAATATTTATTATGCATAGTTTCGTGTCAATTTACTTGTATATAATTTATTAGAACACAACTAACTTTAAATTCATGAAACTCATTATAACGTTTACTGACCGATAAATGCCTGAAAGCAATCTCCGAAAAGTCTGAAAATAAGCTTTTAAACTAGTTGGTACTAGTTAACCAGGTAAATCTGTCATAATCAAGAGATCGATCAATACTCTTTGCTTTGTTTATCTGTCTGATGATTCTTCAAAAGCAACAAAATAAGTATCTAGAATATTTTGATAAAACATGATAATTCACTTGGTATTGTTTGGCTTGAATCTTCTCATTGAGTTTTTTTAAGACTGCAATTGATCGGTCTGTTAATGGCATATGTGCACCCCATTGCACAAGCAGGTGGCTATCGGGACTCAGTAGCTTAGTGGATAACGCGATGGCGTTTGAAGCGAATGGTACTGGGTTCGAGTCCCAGAGTGAACATCAACTCCGAGATGCAGATACATCCAGCCAACGAGTCCCAACTAGGGAGAAACGCGCGTCCTGGATTCAAATGCTAGCCACTATCCTTCATTGCTTACAAAACATGATAATTGTTTTTGCACTACTCAGATGTTATAGAATTATATTAAAATATGATTAGAAGATGAGGTATGTAATAAAACATAATGTTATCTGTGTGTTTATAGCCGATCATATTATTAATTAGTTATTGTGACTATCAATTTGTTATTCTAGCGGTATATTCGGATGCTGCTTAATACCATTTTATGTGAATTCATGCAAAGATGCTTATCACAGTTGTCCAGAATGTGGAACATTACTTGGAGTTTATAAACGTATCTAAAATTTATCATCGATTGCTACTTCTTTTTTTTCACAAAACGTTGTTTTCTTTCTTCCCCATTTGTTTCAATCTAATGAGCTTTTTGTATGAAATATAAGTGAAAATAAAACCATATTAAGTTATCCTGTATTATTTTAATGAATGTTCATCTTAATTTCTCAACTTTTATAATTTTCGTATTATTCACATTATTCAGTATTGTCTGTATTCCTGAAATAATATATAGTTTCAGTTTTAACTTCCATATATACAATATACTTCATAATTACACAAAAATGTACACAAGTAAGAAAAACAATTTCTATCCTATTTTATTTAACCTACTACAACAATGTACTCTGTTTTGATATTATCAATTTAAACCGCTTCATCTAACAAGTGTTGTGATAACACTTTTCATTTTTTTTTTATTATCACTTCCTTCAGCTGTTGTTTTATGACTTTTAGCTAACTATTGCCATAATATGTGTTACCTATCATTACATCTATCACTTTGAATATATATTTTTAAAGAAAAAGCTATTGCACAGAATACTATATATATATATATGCAAGTTGGATTTCTTTTCAAAAGGCAAAACATATTGTCCTTCTACATATGTACATCAGCCGACACACTACCATTGTTTATCTTATTATTAAAACACAATTATATGAACGAAGAATATTCTTTTCAATAATTTCTCATCAAGTCAAAATAAATTTACATATTTATTAAATGTTTATTTTGACAGAGTACCTTTTCCGTGGAACACATATTGCTGGATATTATATTACTTTGTTTTGTTTTGTTGAGTCTCTTAATGTACATAAAAAAACAACATGTTTCATTACTCAGAAATAAGTAATAAGTAATATTTATTTGAAAACTTTTACGATTGTCTTTATTTGTATCTTATGAATATGAATGAATAAAATACTTCAAATAAAGTTAAATTTTTTCACTTCATCTATTCCTACAATCAAATAAAACTTCTATCAATTTATCATTTGTTTCATTCATTTGTTGGTTAAGCTGCCTGGTATTACACTCAATATAGCTATCTCCGTAGGGGTAGCAATATTAGATATACTACTAATCATTTTAATCAATGAATGCGTGAACATCTCCCAGCTTGGTATGAAAGGGGCTAAACAAAGACTATTCTCAAACCTATATTGGCACACCTGGTTGATAGTGGACTTTTGATAATTAAAATCATTTCAATTGATCGATCATATACCTTCGTTGTTTCTCAGTGAGGTCTGATATTGTCTGCAATATATAGCAGAAGCTATAGGGAACTGAACCTTCAACCCTAGTTTATGAATTCAGAAGAAATTCGACAGAATCCTGTACTTTCCTTGGTCGTATAGTCTTCTTCCCATCAAATTGTACATTTTTACCTATTATGTGTAGTTATGCAATCTTTTACACTGTGATCACTGATGTATGAATAATTCTAAGTTTTCTATTATTGTCATATACTTAAATAAATATATAAGTATACTAGCATGAAGCCTGATGAAGATCTAATTGTAAACAATGTTGTTCTAATTTACAATTTAGAGTTTTTTTTAACACTTTAAAAGTGCTAAAACCTCACTTGTAAAGAAGCCACTAAGAACACACATTCCACATAGACTTATGTCATATCAATCGTCGTTAATTTCTGTAATAAAATGTCTTCAAAAGCTAACCCCTATTGACTACAACATAAACTTCACTAATTAGAAGTTAAAACTATGGTTTTCACATTCCAGTTGCATTATGTTCCTTATTTTTCGCTGAATCAATAATTAAAAATAAAAATATTCTCAAAATAACGTTATGAACTAGCTGTTATCACTAAATCAATCACTTGTCCAATGATTGTATAGTATATAGTGTAAACTGCTTAATGCAATAGTTATTAAAATATCTGTGAATAATAGTAATCCAAAAAAATGTCTGAACTTATTTTTTTTAATAAAAACAGGAGGTATTTTAAACTGTGGAAATAAACAACTTTACTGAAATGGCAAACTTGTTATATTTGAAAAGTTTTGCGCTCATAAAAGAAGAACGATGAAAGCTCCACGACAAAACCATCCAGCTCAGAGAACAAAACTCTATCAAGTTCATAAAAGTTCTATAAGTAATGCACATATTTCAGAAATTAACGTTTGTAAATGTTTCTCGTTAAATTTGCATTTAGAAAGATAGTATACATACATTTAGTGATTTAATGAGTTAAAATTAAAGCTTAAGAAAGCTGTCAAACTAAAAAATAACTTTTAGTTTTAGTCACTATTTACTATCGCTTATTACAATAAATAAATTCGAATTTCCACAATACCATCACATTCTTCCATCATAAAATAAATAATGATTGATATCAGGTGAAAATAATGGATGAAACAATTAAAGAACTATGTCATATAATTTTAATGGTTAAGATCATGAGTCAATTGAAGCTAGACAACCATGGAAAACCTGAGAGCACTGAACGGCCGTTTTTCCCTATTATAGGACCCCTCGGCAGTTCGCATCCACGATCTAGCCTCGCGAGATTCGAACCCAGGGCCTATCAGTCTCACACGCGAACATTTAACCTCTAGAACACTGAGCCATCATCTAACAGTTTTAATGTCTAATCCACGAAATTAAGCGAAACATCCACCATTGACTCCAGTGAGTCACTAACTCATAACAGACTCAGTTAAACTCCACTGGTCATTGCTTCTCACTAGAACTCCAGAAAATACCTTTTGAAACCAGTCACTGGTGAGCATATATTGATTAGTATCAGAAGGGATTTTGCGGATATTATAATGATTTTAATTGTTGAGATCACTGCTGAGGTGTCCCACAATAGGACAAAACGGCCATCCAGTGTTTCCAGGTTTTCTGTGGTGGTCTACCTTCAACTGACTCCTGATCTCAACCATTAAAATTACTAATATATCGTATAAGATAATTAACAGCTAACTTTTTTTATATATGAATAAACTATGAATTCTACTTAATATTGCTTAGGAATTTATTTTACTCTCTATCTAATAAGACGTTTGTGATCATGATTTCATAGACCAAGTTTCCCTTCTTCACTGTCGAACATTAAAAACATTTATTGACGTTAATAATAATATTTTAAAATGTAAAATGAAAAGAAATTAATTACTGATTCAATTAAGTAAAGTATCCAAGTACTGCTTTGATTCAATCTAATATTTCAAATTAATTCATTTTGCTTTCCAAAGCTTAATACATCACTTTATTACATGGTTGTTTTAATTGATCATTTGGGCGGTGACTACCTTCAAGTTTATTTTATACATGGATGTATATTTATATACATAGTTCTTTATTTATGAAAAGAACGTACGTGTAGTTGAGACTTTTATTGATAATTTTTACTATAGCTTGTGATCAAATTTTGTGTTGTGTTAATTAGGTATCGAAATAGATTTATTAATGTTTATTGCCAAACGTACTACGAAGTTCGGTAGTTGTGAACGGAGTTTATTTAGTGTTAGAAGTATTTGTCCCTAAACGGTTTATTATCTGAGATATTTACTGACTTCCTAGGGAGTTTACTATAGAGAATCCATTTGATTTGTAACGATTCGGCACATTGTGCACACTCAACACCATCTGGGTTTATTCTAAAGACTTATGAAATAGCATGATGTGGAAAGTGTAGTACACGAACGTGTACTTAATTGTGTGGTTTCAAAATACCAGTCACTTAATTGGTATGTTTATAAATAGAAATTCATAATAGCAACAGTGTATTTTTAAAATTTTGCAATTTTTCATGCTCATTTACTTGGCCAACAATGGTATGACTATATTTAAATTAAATTTTAAAAGTTATGCATCTAATTAATTTTCATACTATTAAGTAAGTTGATGGACAGTTGCATGAACTCATTTATATGAAACTTAATTGCGTTACATCACGTTTTTCTTCTACATTACGGTACGACCATATACGCAAATGTCACTCATCTCTCAGTGTTTGTTTAAATACTTTACTATTTATTAACGGTAAATTGTCTATGTAAAAGCTTTAGATGTTCATTCAGCCTCAGTTAAGGTTTAAGCAACAAATGATTATTAAGGTTTTTGAACGTAATGGAACTTACTAAATAAAGTACATTGAGACTGATATTTTTATTATTCTCAATCAGAAAACATTCTACTTAAAATCCATGGTGTTATACCGTTTTCTTTTCGTTTGTTTCATGTTATAAAATATCATTTACTCACATTCGTTAGTATAAAGATCAAATAACTAAATGAGTCGATCGTATTACTAGGTTACTCTATAGGAACCAGGAAAGTTTCATTGTGTTCAGTGATTAAATGATATTGGCATATTGAATCCACAGTCGATTAAAGTTCTATGAAGTAATTAAAAGTCTATGTCAGTTTACAATCACTGACTATTAGGTTACTGAACATACTGGATAATTCATTTAAACGTTATTTTAATGACTATCAGCAAATAAATTTTGTTATGCAAATTATAGGATAAATTGGTTCTGGAAACAATTTAATTTCACACATATCCACGAAAAGATAATAATCTAATCAAAACATCGATTTTATAATGAAGCATAAATTTTTATTGGATTATATAGGTAAATCAATAATCATTAATTTTAGATTCAGAATATTTTACCGATCATCAAATACTAGTTTAATTAATTCAACGACAAACTTCTTTAAACCATAAAGGTAAACCAATATTATCTAAGTTACTTCATAACATCATCATATAGTGAAATTCGTTTCAACTTAATACATTTTAATTGTTTATTAATCAATTTTTGTTTACTTTATACTTGCCTTGATATAATTTGCCTCACCTATTTTGAATCTAACTTAAAATCTATGAATTGAGAAACAAAATTTTAAATGAATTTTTGTTTTAATTTCTTGTACTGAAAAATCATTGTATTAAAAAGAAATAATAATACACTACTATCACTAACTGTTAATCGTATATCATCAATTTGAAATTCATTAAGTT